CATAAGATACAGACAATGATATTACAGTATCAGAGTTCATTAATTAATTACACTGAGCTTATCAACCTGGCTTTCTGAATCTATTTAAATAATCAATTCTCTGAGAAAAAGATCAATAAGATCTCTTCTAAGTAATTAATAATGAGATCTAAATGATACAGTGACAGCTTCAGTGTAAAGAAAGTAAAGAAGAATTTCAAGTATTCTGATTCTTCACTCACTGTGAAGAAATGTTAAAAAAGATTTAATAAAGATCTCTATTTTAACTGTGAAGCTGATAATCACTATACTAGTGATTGTAAGAAGCTGAAGAAGAGAAGAGACTGAGAAGATATCTTCTCAAAGTTAACTTCTCTTCTGACAAATGTATCTGTGAAAGATAAAGAAGAGAAAGAAACAAAGAATTAATAATTCTCATATCTTCAAGTTCATATTACAATCATAATGAATACTCTGAATGAAGAGATATCAGTGAGATGTCTATTTAACTCTGAGATAGATATCAACTTCATATTCTATTTCTGTTCTTTAATGAAGAATTGAAAGAAGATAAGACTTATCAGATCATGTAAAATTTACTGATGAAATAAAGTATCACTGTTTTAACATAATTTAAGTGAAGTGTGTGATCACAGACTCAGAAGAAATCTTTAAGAAGAGCAGTCTGCTTCTTCATACTGTCAATATCATAGATAAGAATGTCATTCTAGATCTCTTATAATTGAGAGAAAACAATTCTCTCATTGACTGAGTTACTCAGATATGACAGTATCACCTTATTAATGAAGAGACAGTGATAGAGAAATCTGAAGAGTTTCATTGAAAGAATCTTAAGAAAAAGATAGAGTCAATATACTATGTAGCAGGTGATTGAGACTTGAGAATAGATGAAGAAGTTATCACTCTCACTGCAAGATTAGTAGCAGTATCTGTCATTGAAGATAGATATACACAATGTCTCTTTACAGATTATAAGAATATCTTTTTAGAAAGAGAAGCAGTGAAGTTTCCTGATATCAAGATACAATATAAGATTTATCTTGAAGATGATATAACAGTACTGTACAGATCTCTTTATAACTTATATATAAAGGAATTGAATATTCAGTGTAAATATCTTGAGAAAGTGTAATTGAAGAACTGAATATACTTATCAAAAAGTTCAGCAGAGACATCTATACTCTTTGTGCTTAAGAAGAATGATAGACTATGTCTATACATAGACTACAGAGATCTCAATAAGATGATAATTAAGAATTACTATTCATTACTGTTAATTGATAAGATGATCAATTGATTATCTGAAGCAAATATGTTCTCAAAGATTGATATACAGAATATCTATCATAGAATCAGAGTTAACAAAGACAATGTTTGAAAAACAGCTTTTTGTATTAAGTACAGCAATTTTAAATATCTTGTTTTATCTTTTGATCTTTATAACACTTTAGCCATCTTTCAGATCTATATAAATGAGACACTGCAGAGCCTTATCAATGTCTTCTGCATAGTATACTTAAACAACATTCTAATCTTCTCAAAAATGAAGAAAGAATATAATACTCATGTTTAAGAAGTGTTGAGTTGCTTGAGACAGTATCAACTCTATACAAACACTGAAAAATACTCATTCTATATGTAGGAGATTGATTTCTTAGATTATATTATTGAGATGAATGACATTTCAATGAATAGAAGCTGAGTCTCTGTCATTGAGAACTGGCCAGCACTGCAGACATATTACAAGATACAGATATTTCTAGAATTTATGAATTTCTACAGATAATTTATCTATACATATTCACAGATTACTGTTTCTCTTACAGATCTGTTAAAGAGAAGTGTGAAAGACAGAAAAATAAGATCATTTATTCTCATTCAAGATACTGTGCAGATATTTATAGAATTGAAACAAGCTTTTACAGATGTCACAATACTGAATCACTTTAATTCTGACTTACTCAGTCAGTGTGAGATTGATATATCTGAGAATGAGATCTGTGAAATCTTTTCACAGTTAATATCAGAGGCCTTTCAATGCTGAAAGAATTAGAGAATAATCACTTCTGAGAATACAGATAATGAAATGTCTGTGAGAGAAGACTTTTTCACAGAGTCTATAAGATACTGTGAATAAAGATCAGTGATCTTCTTCTTCAAGAAGTTATCACTTATACAGAGAAGATATGATATTCATGATCAAGAGATATTAGTAATTATTGAATTCTTTAAGATCTGATGACATTATCTTCAGAATAGTAAGTACTCAGTGCAAGTTCTTACTGATTATATAAATCTGTGTTATTTCTTGATAACAAAGAGCTTGATAGAATGTCAAGCCAGATGAGCAGAGCTGCTTTTGAAGTACAATTTCCATATTTAATACTGTTCAGATTAGCTTAATTCTGTCAATATATTATCTAAATAACCTGATTATAATATTGTTGATGCAGAGAAGAATTCTATAAAAGAATCTCTATCATTACTGCAGAAGAAGCTGACTGCAGAGAATTGAAGTTCTCTGAAGCTCAGAAACAGTGCTGATAAGACAGCTGTATGACTCAGAATAGAAGGTGAAAGAAAACTCAGATCTCTGTAGAGAACTAACACTGAAGATCATGAGCTTCTTATATTATATCTTACTATTATTGAATTGATAAAGAATGAAATAATCTACAATCTTTCAATCTGACTACTTTTGAAATTTATTAATGAGTTATAGAAGAGAGATATCTCTACTACAGCTTGAATTCAGAAGTTGAAGAAGAAAGAATTCAGTTTAAACTTGAAAGAGACAGACTCTGAGTGAGACAGTACTGTTAAGAAATCAAGTCACTGATAACTAGATGAATGTGAACTTCTACTGCTGAATAATTCAGTCTTTATCTCTTGTAGTAGAGTGATATGTCAGAAGTTATTAAGAATTCATTATAATAATTCTCATATGAGACACTTCAGATTAGAGAAGACTGAGAAGCTTCTAAAATATAAATATATTTAAGACAAGCTTCAGACAGATGTTAAAGAGTATATTAAGACTTATAATATCTATCAAAGAATAAAGATTCTGTGATATAAGTAATACAGTGAGTTGATATCACTGCCTGTCTTAAAGAGCTTATGACAGAATCTATTAATGAATTTTATAGTTGATCTGCTGAAGTTGATAAGAGTCAAAGAATATGACTCAATTTTGATCATTATCAACTGTTTTATAAAGATGATAAAAAATATTTCTACTTATAAAAAGATTAAAGACTCTGAATTAACTGACCTGTTTTTAGATATCATTATTCATGATCACAGTGCTCTGAAATTGTTAATAACAGATTAAGAATTTATCTTTATCAGCAAGTACTAATCAGTCTTTTACTATTATCTTATAATAAGATATCTTCTCAGTACTGCATTTCAACTACAGACAGATGATCAGACTGAACATCAGCATCAGATATTAGAACAGTATCTTTAAGTGTTCTATTTATATTATCAGAATGATTGACTTAAATATCTTCTAATCACTGAATTTATATATAACAATGTAAAGAATGTAATCTTAAAGATATCTTCTTTCTATATTTATTATGAATATAATTCTTCATTACTCAGTGACATTGCAGATAACACTTTAAAGAGAGGAATAGACAGTTAGAATATTGAACAGATACAGAGAATAGAGTATTTCTCAGTATCAGAAGTAAAAGTGAGATTGAAACTTTTGAATAAAATTCATGAGAAGATAGTGAAAAGTATTCATTATATTTAGAAGTAATAGATAAAATACTATAATTAAAAACATCTTTCAATGAAGTTCTTGATAGAGAATCAAGTGCTACTTTCAGTAAAGAATATCAAGATAATGAGGCTGTATAAGAAGCTCAATAAGTAGTGACTAGAATCTTTCTCAGTAACAAGAGTAATGAATAAGCAGATATATAAGTTGAAATTATTCTCAGAATTGAAATCAATTCATTCTGTTTTTCATATTTTCTATTTAAAATTCTATAAGTAACACTCTGAGGCAGAGCTGTCTCAGCTGAATAATATTGAGATTAAGAGTAATACTGAATATCTTATAAAGAAAATATTGAATAAGTGAATATATTACAGTAAGCTTCAATATTCTATTAAATAAGAAGATTATTCATTATCAGAGAATTTATAAGAACTACTTAAGTATTTGAAAAATGCTGAGAAAGAGATTGTAAACTATGAGATGACTAGTAGAGACTGCTCTATTATATGCTAGAGATATTAAGTAAGAAATGCTGCTTAAGACTTCTCATTTTTCTTAAAGAGTTTTTTAGAGATAATCTTACAGTAATGAGTCAGTGTCTTATGAACTCTATAACACTCTTCTTCTATTTTCTCTTGAAGAATTTTTAGAAGTTTAATAAGACTACACAAGTGTAAAATTCCTGAAGTGATTAGAGAAAAGAAATATTTAAAATCAATAAAAAGATTAATATTATAGATTCACAGACTGCTGCTATTCTAATAAGACTGCAGTTCACTGAAAAAGTAAAAAGAGAGATCAGACTCTACTCATTAACAATCACATTCTCATTAAACTCATTCTTCACTATTAAAGTCTCTGATACTGATATCTTTGTCTGCTGAGAAGTTAGCACTGCAGTGCTGCAGAGAAGCATACTATAGAAGAGTATAAGATATACTTGAAGTATTAACTTATTAATTTATAAAGCATTACAGTTATCTGCTTCAATTGAAGTGAGATTCTCTTCAATCAGTAATTAATCTCTATAATACTTTTAATAACAGTGCTGACTAATCTCTTCTTAAGATCAGTCATTCTGAGGTGTTTTTTTATCTCAGAGATTCATACTTTCATCTTCTTTTACAGATGAGTAAGAGAGATCTCTTCAGTCTTGATAAAATTTATTAATACTTAGAGCTCTGAGACTCTCACTCTGTACTGCTTAAATATCTGAACTTCTTGTCAGAACTGACACAATATCTTCTTATAGAGTAGATAATACTTACAGAGAGATAGAAGTCATTATTACAGATATAACAGAAACAATGAGAGTAAGAGAAGAGATAAGTGTATAAAATTCTCTCTTTCTTCAGCTGCTTAGTACAGTGTAGATAAGTGATAATACTGATCAGAGACTTCACTGAAGTCTCTTTATAAAGAGAAGATAAAGAAACTGCAGGATTCTGCAGACTTAACTCAGCAGTATTCTGAGCAGAGCTTGAATGTGCTGTGAGAGAGAAACTACAGATTGAGCTTCTTGAAGCTGCTATTTCTGAAATCAAGCTCTCTCTGAGGTTCTCTCTAAATGATCACACAGGGTCATACATCACTGTGTTGACTGAGGAAAGAGATGATGTTACAATGACAGTGAGAGAGACAGAGAAAGAACTGAATATGAATAAACTGACTGACAGAAGAAATGACATCTCACTGCAAGGTACAGCAACTACTACTATGACTGCAAGAGAAGCAGAAGAAGAAGAAGAAGATGTGATAATAAGAGTAGTACTTTCACAGTCTGTTGACACTGCTGTCTTCATCTTCAACTGAGCTTTCTTGACAGTCACAGAGACTGCAGTCACACTACAAAGACATTTATTACTCACTAGAAAATATCAGAATAAGTCTCTTATTATCTCTCAAGAATAATGCTCTCATGCACTCACTATTACAGATGAGAGAGAAGGAAGAAAAATGTTTCACAAAGAGAGAGAATCTTTTTGAAAAATCCTGTTACTACTGTTAACTTTGTCTCTAAAACACATCACTTTTGCAGAGAATTTTATATATAGAATGAAATATAATGAATAATCTGTAAGTCACTTATTAACTATATTTTTCACATTTTAAATTAATATATAAGAAACTCACTTATCATATATTTGATTTGAATGAAGATGAGAAAAGAAAGATCTATACAGTCAGCTGAAAAACTCATCTATTTCTTTATATCATACACAGTACACACACTGTCAATCAGTTGATAACTGTTGCTATATAACAAAGATAATTTCTAATCTAGTAATCTTAAGAACATTGAAACTATACTCTTAAAGAGAAGAGTATTATTATATCTCTGACTATATTAAGACTCTGCTGCAGTTTCACACAGCTTATTGCTTTTATACAGATGATTTCATTTATCTTACAGACTGTTTGAACTGATTTTCAATCACTTTATGACATTATTCAAATATATCATAGAAAGATCTGATTAATGAATATGAGAACCTCACTTCTATATAAGATCAGCAGATTACTCTTTCTTGATAATAAGATATCACTGAGATATCACTTCAGCTATTCTTACTCATGAAATGAGAGAAGAGTATTCACTCATTGTCTATATAGAATAGCTAGATACTAGCTTCTCATCTAAGAAGTCAGTAATTCATTTTTCTTCTACTGAAAGATATATAAGAGTTACTGCATTTCTTATATAATCTTCTTAGTATACTAAGTATCATATCTGTGATATTCTTGCAATAACTCTGTAGCCTACAAGCTTGCTATTCAAGCAAGATAGTCAAGCTCACTCATACGGCTTCTCAACAACTACTTCTACATGACGCCGCTGACTAGCCACTGCTTCGGTTCCGCTACATTACAAGAATACAGACAATGAAATGTCTGTGAGAGAAGACTTTTTCATGAAGTCTATAAGACACTGTAAATGAAGATCAGTGATCTTCTTCTTCAAGAAGTTATTACTTATGCAGAGAAGATATGATACTCATAATTAAGAGATATTAGTAATTATCAAATTCTTTAAGATCTGATAACATTATCTTCAGAATAATAAGTACTCAGTGTAAGTTCTCACTGATCATACAAATCTGCATTACTTCTTGACAATAAAGTGCTTGACAGAATGTTAAGTTAGATAGATAGAGCTGCTTTTAAAGTATGATTTCTATATCTGATATTATTCAGATCAGCTTAATCTCACTGATATACTATTTAAACAGCCTGATTATAATATCATTGATGAAGAGAAGAATTCTATAAAAGAATCTCTATCATTACTGCAGAAGAAGCCGGCTGCAGAGAATTGAAGTTCTCTGAAGCTCAGAAACAGTGCTAGTAAGACAGCTGTATAACTCAGTGTAGAAGATGAAAGAAAACCCAGATCTCTGCAGAGAACTGACACTGAAGATCATGAGTTTTTTATATCATATCTTGCTATTACTGAATTAACAAAGAATAAAACAGTCTACAATCTTTCAATCTGACTACTTTTAAAATTCATTGACAAGTTACAGAAAAGAGACATCTCTACTACAGCTTGAATTCAGAAGTTGAAGAAGAAAGAATTCAGTTTGAACTTGAAAGAGACAGGTTCTGAGTGAGATAATATCACTAAGAAATCAGGTCACTGATAACTAGAAGAATGTGAACTTCTACTGCTAAATGATTCAGTCTTTATTCCTTATAACAGAACGGTGCATCAGAAGTTATTAAGAATTCATCATAATAATTCTCATATGTAGACTGACTGCGAGAACTATGAATTTCACATTTGATTTCATTTGATCTGGTCTCATACATTTCTTGGCGTGAATCCCGCTGAGACTAGTCATTAAAAAAACATGCAAAGTGACTATATATGAGATCTTAAAATAAAACCATGACTTGAAAAAAATGAGAAAGTGGTCTCATTTGATCTCATTTAGTCCCATTCTTGGCATAAAGTTACTATTTTTAGACATTTTAAGGTTTTTTTTAGACTATTTTTAATTTTTTAAAAAGTAATGCTTTTTGGTAATGCTCAAATGAGATTTAAAGTCATTTAAAGCAATAAAAATAATTTAAATTGAGAAGTGAAAATCATGATCTCATTTGAAAAATGTGACAAGAGTAAACAGTAAGTCTCACTGAGACAGTATGAAACTACTATCTAATGTTAAAATCATGTAATGAGATCAGTCGAATTGGTAATAAGACTATCAAAAAATCTGATCCTGGTCTCAGACACGGTCACACGGTCAGTCTACTCATGTGACACACTTCAGGTTAGAGAAGACTGAGAAGCTTCTAAAATATAAATATATTTAGAACAAGCTCTGAGCAGATGTCAAAGAGTATATTAAGACTTATAATATCTGTCAAAGAATAAAGATTCTGTGATATAAGTAATACAGTGAGTTGATATCACTGTCTGTCTCAAAGAGTCTATAATAGAATCTATTAATGAATTTCATAGTTGATCTGCTGAAGTCAATAAGAGTCAAAGAATATGACTCAATTTTAATCATTATCAACTGTTTCATAAAGATGATAAAATATATTTCTACTTATAAAAAGATTAAAGCCTCTGAATTAACTGATCTGTTTTTAGATATCATTATTCATGATCACAGTGCTCTGAAATCAGTGATAATAGATCAAGAATTTCTCTTCATCTGTAAATACTGATCAGCTTTTTACTATTATCTTATAATAAGATGTCTTCTCAGTATCACATTTTATCTGCAGACAGATAATCAGACTGAACACTAGAATCAGATATTAGAACAGCATCTTTAAGTGTTTTATTTATATTATGAGAATGATTGACTCAAACATCTTCTAACTGCTGAATTCATATATAACAATGTAAAGAATACAATCTTAAAAGTATCTTCTTTCTATACTTATTATGAATATAATTCTTCATTATTCAGTGATGTCACAGATGATATTTCAAAAAGAGAAATAAACAGTCAGAATATCAAACAGATACAGAGAACAGAGTACTTCTCAGTATCAGAAGTAAAAGTGAGATTGAAACTTTTAAATAAAATTTATGAAAAGGCAGTGAAAAGCATTCACTGTGCTCAGAAGTGATAGATAGAATACTATAATTGAAAACATCTTTCAATGAAGTTCTTAATAGAAGATCAAGTACTACTTTCAGCAAAGAATATCAAGATAACAAGACTATGTAAGAAGCTCAATGAGTGATGACTAGAATCTTTCTCAGTAATAAGAGTAATAAGTAAGCAGATATATAAGTTGAAATTACTCTCAGAATTGAAATTAATTCATTCTATTTTTCACATTTTCTATTTAAAGCTCTATAAGCAATGTCTCAAGACAGAGTTATCTTGATCAGATAATATTGAGATTAAGAGTGATACTGAATATCTTATAAAGAAAATATTGAACAAGTGAATATATTATAACAAGCTTTACTATCTTATTAAATGAGAAGATTATTCATTATCAGAGAATTTATGAAAACTGCTTAAGCATTTGAAAAATGCTGAGAAAGAGATTGCAAGCTATGAGATAGCTAGTAGAGACTATCTTATTACACATCAGAGATATTGAGTAAGAAATATCACTTAAGACTTCTCATTTTTTCTAAAGAGTTTTTTAGAGATGATTTTACAGTGATAAGCTGATATCTTATAGACTCTGTAACACTCTTCTTCTATTTTCTCTTAAAGAGTTTTTAGAAGTTTAATAAGACTATACAAGTGTAAAATTCCTGAAGTAATTAGAGAAAAGAAATATTTAAAATCAATACAAAGATTAATATTATTAATTCACAGACTGCTGCTATTCTAATAGAGCTACAGTCTGTAGAAAAAGTAAAAAGAGAGAATCTCAAAGCCTACTTATTAATAATTACATTCTTATCAAACTCATTCTTCACTATTAAAGTCTTCAGTATCAGTATCTTTATCTACTGAGAAGTTAGTACTGCAGCATTGCAGAAGAGCATGAGAGATATATAAAGTATTAACTTATTAATTTACAAAGCATCTCAGTCATCTGCTTCAATTAAAGTGAGATTCTCTTTAATCAGTAATTTATCTTCACAGTACTTTTAATAACAGTATTAGTTAACTTCTTCTTAAGATCAGTCATTCTGAGATGTTTTTTCATTTCAGAGACTTATACTTTCATCTTCTTCTATAGATAAGTAAGAAAGATCTTCTCAGTCTTAACAGAATTTATCAACACTTAAAGCTTCAAGACTCTCACTCTTATTATTATTATTCTTCAATTATAGATGTATACAGTCAGAGACTATAACATCTATCTGAGAACCTTTAGTTCTCAGGGTTTTTTCTATATCTATAGAGTCAACTATTATACACTTATCAATTTCAGATATGTAAAATCAGAAAATTCCAGCCTAGAATACAAAAACTGTTTACAAATTGCAGTATTTCAACATCTATTAATACTTTGAAATCATTTGAAAATATCATGACAAAGGAAAAGAGAATATAGTCTTAAAGATAGACACATTAAATAGATAGATAGAAAAGAACAGAAAGAAACAAGTACAGTAATAA